GCACTCACGGCCTTGGCGTTGTTGGCTTGCATCTTCTTCAGCCCCTTCTTGTTGTGCTTCTTGGCAAAGCGCATGTTCCGCAGGAACTTGGGGTCCACCTGGAAGACAAGTACAAGCAGCTGTAAGTGCAGCATGTGGGGCCCCCAAAGTCACCCCTAGTGGGGTACCCAGGACACTGTAAGGCTCCAGCCAAGGCCTATTAGGGGCTTAGACAGCAGCAAGTCATCCTGAAATGCTGACAACGTGTCTGCAGAGAAACACGTACCACCACCCCAGAAGCCAAGACTGTGCCCTGCTAATGTTACAGAGCACATTCTCAGGGCTACAGGAAAATTCAAATGTGAGTATAGCAAGAGGGGGGAGGGGGGTGCACGCTGTGCCCTCTGCCAGGGTTGTAGGGCTAGGGCTGAATCCTGAAACCTCCTCAGGGTCACCCCACCCCATTAAAGGCCAGTGTCAGTTAAATGCCAGGCCTGGTACAACAGACTCACAGCAAATGAGGAGTAAGAGACCAAGGGTACAGGGGAGGCGCAGACTGGAGGCTCAGCTGCACTCAGACCCTATGGCCTCAGCCTGCGCAGCTCATCCTTAGAACTCCCTGGCACTGGAAGACCCACAGGGTGCAAGGTACACAGAGACAAGGCCATCCCTTCCCTTGAAGTGCTCTGGCCGGGCAAGAGACATAGTCAAACTGCCCTAATGGGGGCAGGTTACACCTGGCCAGGGAGTTACATCCGGGGCTGGAAATGGCCAAGTAAAGCTTTTCTAGGGTCTGGCAGAGCTTGAAGTCCACGCAAGACGAGGGACAGCTAATACCGGTGCACAGGCAGATGGCGAAGCTGGAGCCAGACAGACACACTCGTGACTCTGCGCACACACTCACCCCCTTAAGAGATTCGTATCTTTGTGATCGGGGTTTCTTGATGCCGTTTCTGTGCCATTTTCGGGCTGTGGAGAAGACAAGGAATTAAGACCAAAAAAGAGGGTTTCTCCTAATAAGACCACCCAACACCACAGCGGGCAAGCCTAAGGGAACCATTACATCCCAGAGCAGGTCTTCTTGGGGTTTGAGAAACTCCTTATCGGAACGCAAAGCACTGTTATCTCATCGGACCCCAGCTTCTGGATCTATAACCCCAAACGTAACACTGGCTGGAAACAAGCACGAGGCTCACAGGAGAAACGTGCCTCCTTGCCCTGCCCCACTACCCCTAATCCTTGCCCGAGTGTTGGGCGTGAGACGGAGGCTGGGCCGCAGGCACTTACACTGGTTGTGCGTGGTGTGGTTCTTGGACTTGGCCATGTCTGCACCTGGAGGAACAAGAGTGGCGATCAGGGCTGGGGGCTCGCCGGGCGGGGCCCACGCCTGCCGCCCTGATCGGAAGAACGAGAGACCAGAAGCCAGACCGAGGCTGCAGCACAGATGCCTCGACTCTGTGGCCTCCGCGCGCCTCGACTCACTGTGCCCAACAACGCCAGTTCTCGACAACTCAGGTAACGGTGCCCCGAAACCAAACACCCGCGCCGCAAGGCTGCGTTCGCCTCCCAGATCCGAGTTCTCCCCCTCTCAACCGCTCCCTCGAGAACCCACGAGCACCACCCCTGCCCCACGGCCTCCGCGCCCTACAGCCAGGAAGCCAGTCTCCCTGTCCTCTCCGGGCTGTGCGTCCGCCGCCGTCCGCGCCTCGCGGATGGCTTCGGATGCCGCGCGGCCAGCACTCACCCAAGCCCACAGCGCCCAAACCCCCGGGACCGGAAGAGAAAAAGGAAGATCGCGGTGCAGCACGGGAAATACGGTCGTCGAGGCCGGAAGGTACTACTGAAAAAGCTTCCGCCGACGCCAGGAAGAAAGGTTCCTAAGGCCGGGAGGGCACAAAGCCGACGGGAAGGCGGTGCTACGAGCCTGGCCCCGCCTCTTCCGGTCTTACCTCTTCTCACCCCGCGTCTCCGCCCGTTTCTCTTGGTCCAGATCTCATTAAAGGTCTGAAGGCGAAGCGAGTCCTTGACAGATGTGTTAGGCAGGGAGTGACCGATTTGTGTTCTTTAAACGTGCCGCTGGCCCCTGCGTGGAGAGTGGACCGTCGGGGGCAGAGGAGAGGAGGGAGGGCTGGCGCAGAACACCGTGGGAGAGGGATGGCGCCTGGACCCGGGTGGGGGCAGTAGGGGAGGAGAGGGGTGGATAAGGAAACAGACTGGACTTGCGATGCAGAAGATGAGAGAGCGGAAGGAGGCCAGGGTGGCCCCTAAGTTTTTAACTTGAACATCTGGGTGAATGGTGGTGCTGTTTACCGAAATGGGGAAGATGGGGGGAAGGACGGGGGTTTTGTTGCTTTGTTTTCAGATCCAGATGTTTATTTGTAGATGCATTAAATATGATACGCCTATTGGACATCCAAAATGAGGAAGCATTGCCTCCTAACAACTTTGTTGCCTTCTCCACCTCTTACCCCTACAGTTCCTTCTCCACACAGCACTGGGGCCTGAGGGCACTTTTTAAGATACAAATCAGATCTTGTCATTTAAAGCCTGCAAGGACTTCCCCCTTGCGTTGGAGATCAGTTGTTTACCTCCCTTAATCCTGGCAACCCTCTCCTTATCCTTTCTGTCGAAACCCATGGACTTCTTTCTTTCCTGCCAAGCACAGATACTTGTTTCTGCTTCAGTGCCTTCCCCTCCACCTGGACCACCTTCTCCCTGCTCCTTGGATGGTGTGTTTTCTTGGAGAGAAGCCTCCCTGGACTTCCCTACCTAAAATACAGACCCTCTGCCTCATCTGCACAGTTACTCTCAATCTGTTTGTCTCCTTCATAGAACTTTCCCAGACCCTAGTGATGGTTTTTATTTACTTGTATATGTGTCTACTGGCACAAGCGTTATGAGTTCAGGACTGCCTTGGTCACCTTCATCTTACCATTGCCTGGCACGGCACTTGATGTAGAGCAGCAGGGCTTCATAAACACCTGCTGGTAGACATTCCTTGGCCAGGCAGTTACACAGAGTGACAGATGCACATTGCAGAGTTTGGAAATGAGGGGAAAGCAGGGTGTGGAGGCAGGACGTGCAGATAACTCCTTACTGGAGCATTGCTGAGAAGGGGGACAGAATTCTGGCAGGTGTGAGTTAGGAGAATGAGGGGCTAACTCAGATGCTGAAGGAGTGACCTCGTGCCAACAGAGAAACAGGTGAGGCCAGAGAGGAAGGTGTCTCTGCAGGGGCAAAGTCCTTGAGGGCTGCTGAGAACAGGTGGAGGAGCTGGTGGGCAGGGGTGGGGACTGCAGACGGTGGGGGTAGCAGGATGCCTGCCAGCCCAGGGAGAGGGGGCGAGGGGCCAGAGGCTGGGACAGGGAGGACAAGGTTTGACTGCTGCACCCTTGAGAAAGAAGCAGAGTAGGGGCCAACAGAGGAGGCTATGAAGACTTTAAAAGTGTGGCCTTTCAGTGTGGCATTAGCTCCCACAGCTCCTAAAAAGTGAGCAGTGACACCTGCTCAGGACTCAGTTTTGCCAGGCTGTCATGACAGCGGCAGAGGAAGCACAGAGCCAGATAGCCTGACAGGAGATGAAGATTCAGAGACAGCCGTATGTAAGTGATAGCTCCCTCCCTCCCTTCCTTCCTTCCTTCTTCCGCCCTCTCCTTCCCTCCCTTATCCTCCCCTCCCTTTTCTTCCCCCACTTTCTCGCTTCATAAATGGAACTTTATTATACAAGCTCTTCTGTAACTTGATATTATTCACTGGATCATAATTTGTGAACATATTTCCTTGTTCAAGAAAATCCTTTGTGGGCCAGCTGAGTGGCTCATTGGTTAAGAGCTGGCTTGGGTGCGCCAGCTCTGAGCAGCAGGGCCCCGGTTCGGATCCCACATGAGGGCCAGTGACGCTGCGCCCTCTACAGCTAAGGTGGTGAACAACAGCTTGACCTGTACTGGGCTGCCATGAATCACTGGCAACGGTGTAGGCTGCAGTGGGTTGCCATTAAGCTACCGTGAGCGGCTGGCAGCCAGCGTGAGTGGCCATCCAATGGCCGGCGACTGATCTGCCTCAGCCGGGAAGAGTGCAATGATGGTGTCAACTTGGGCCAGTGAAGCAATGTCCTCCACATCTAGACTGAAGAACAAAAAGATAGCAACTTGTCTGTCCCCTTCCCCAATAAAAACAAAACAAAACAAAAAACAATCTTTTGTAATTTTATTTTACACATTTAAAAAATTCTGAGAAGAGGTCAATAAACACCATCAGATGTCAAAGGAGTCTCTGACACAAAACAGGTGAAGAGCTTAACCCTTCCTCTAGAGTCGACACACTCCCACCCTCTGTGAGTGAGCAGCTTTTGCCCCATCACAAGGCCCAGTGGAGTCCTGGGTGCATTTGCCATTCTCTGTGGTGTAGCCTTGGACAGAGCCACTAGCTGGACTCAGCAGAGCATCTATCCACCAGGTCCGTCACAAATGCCTTGAGCACAAGACAGAGGAAGACATGAGGCCTCGGTGACCAGACAAATCTTGGGCTGGGCAACTGTGGGGGGTGGGGGGGTTGCTGGATGAGCCATGTGGCCTGCTGTGGTGTCTTGTCCAAGCCTGGTCCGGAGCCACAGCCCAGGTGGGATCCATGCCTGGCACAGTCCCGGGTAAATGTTTGAGGAATTAAATGTACACATTTCACAAATCCAGGCAGAAGGCAGAATCAAGAGGCAAGAGGCCAGTCAGTCTGGAGGGATTTCATAAAGAGTCAGCTTTTCTACTGAGTCAGATCTCTGCTCTCCAGGCCTCTGGAGGAGAACAGGGCTTAGGGAAAGAATGTGTTAGTGGCAAGTGAATGCTAATTATGAGGACAGGATCCAAGGGAGGGCCAGGGTGGAAGGAAGTGACAGTCCTCAGGGGTGCTGGGTCTCCTCAGTCAAGTTCTAGAGAGACAGGGACCACCGGTGTGCCCAGATAAGAGGGACCATGAGTGGGTTACCCGGAACCAGGATGTTTTGTCTGTGAGAGAGAAGACTGGGGGTGGGGGCAGAGAAGAGGAGGCCCCTAAGCACTGGATCTTTGGATCTGCTTAGAAACCCCCAAGTGAGAGGCCACTTGATTCTGTGTGGCCCCAGAGGGCAGAGCTAAACCAGGAGGCAAATACCAGCTCCATGGAATGAGGGCCGTTTCTGCAATCAGAATTTCCTCCAAGCCATGGGCTGCTCCCAGAGATAGTGAGCTCCCTGAGATGAAGGATGTGCAAGCAGTTGAATTACTGGGGATGGAGGTTGAAATATGGAGTGGAGAGTTGGAAAATAAACTCTTCAGTTCACTTCCCTCCAAGAGTGCGGGATTCGGAACTCCTGGGAAGAGGAAAGGCAGCGGGCAGCGTGTGATGCCAGGTTGGGGCTCAGGATCTGTGGGGAAGAGAGGGCATTTCCAGCAGAAGCTTGGAGGTGCAGCCTTGGGGCATGCATCACAGCCCAGGTCTCTGATAGTCCCTCTGGGGGGCAGAGCCCTGGCCCAGGAGTGATGCAGTGTCCCCGGGTCCCCAAATGGGAATGTGAGCCTGTGGTCCACACGGGGGCAGCATGGGACTGCGGATAAAGCCGGGCTACGGCACGTGGGAGTTCCCCTCCTGCGGGAAGTCCTCGGATCCTCCCAGACCTCTCACTTCCCGATTCCCCCACCCCCCAACCTAAGGATAGAGCCCCTGTCTGCCTATTCTCAGCAGGTTCTCTGGGGTAGGTTGGGTCTCCTCTGGCTCCAAGCTCCTGGTAGTGGTGGTGGTGGGGAGTGTTTTCCCCAGAGAGGGTTCAGGGCAGAGACAGTGGAGCCTGTGGGTACCCCTGGGTAGAGCCCTGCTGGTCCACCTCAGAGTTACTGGATGCCATGTTGGTTGACTGTTAAAGGAACAGGTTTTGATAAGAGAGACGTGGGTTCAATTTCTGACTGCCACTCACCAGTACAGTGACCTCACCTCTCTGAGCCTCAGTCTCCTCATTTGTAACAGTGGGGAAGCAACGCCCAGTGCTGAGCAGGCCAGAAGCCCCTGGAGCCGGGCTGTGACCTTGAGAGATGGCATAGCAACCTCGGGAGATGATGGGGGTCGTATCACCCTGATTCACTGATGTGGAGACGGAGGCCTTGGGCATGACATGCTAGAGGTCCCACAGCCAAATGGAGAGCTACAGTGGTCCAGATGCCGACTAGGACCCTGAGAAGCAAGCGCCAGTGTGTGCCTGGTGAGGTCATGGAGGGAACCCGGTGACACTAACCACCAGGTGACAGGGAGAAACCCCTGGCCTCTCTGGCTAACAGATGCCCAGCGTGGGGGCATCCTGTGTGCTGGCCCCTGCCTCTGAAAGGAGGGATGGAGTAGGTGGGTGCATCAGGGGGCCTGACAGGGCAGGACTACACCCCTGAGGGGCTCCCCCACTCCCACCTTTGCTCTGAGGTGCAAAACACAAAATGAAGCTAAGGAGACTCCTTTCTCACAAAAAGCATCTGAAGAGGAAGAACGCAGCTGAGCTTGGGAGGGATCCCTTTCCTTTCCCTCCCCAGCAGCCTCCATGGAGCCAGCGATGTTATTGCCGTGGCAACCGCAGTCCCTCCAGCTCCCGTTCTCCTTTAGCCCCATCCTGCTTGGACACCCCTCTCACCTGCACACACCCACCCTCCCAGCCCAGGTTAAAGACAGGCCTCCTCACTCACCAAGCAGCCCCCCTTCCACCCACTGATGCCCAGGCCGGATCCCAGGCTGCCTCTGTCTGGGCATCAGATGGAAGATTCTTGAAGCGGGGAGAGGGCGGATGAAATGGCCTTTGCCAGAGTTCTTCTGAATGAACAAGGGGCTATCACCTCCCTGTGATTTCTAGCCCCCAGCTCTCACAGTCCCCACTCTCTCCCCAGGGACAGAGCCTGAGACCCAGGAGCCCCTGGCAGAGCTGAGAAAAGCAGCACTGGGGCCATGGCCTTGAAGATCATCTGGTTCCCTTCTCCAAGCCTGTGGGTGGGGAAACTGAGGGCTGGAGAAGAGAAGAGACCTGCCCAGGGGCACACAGGAGTTAGGTGGCCAATTCAGGGAGGGAACCAGGGTGGTCAGAGTGGGAAGGGGGATCCTTATTGTTGGGCTGAAGGACAGGCAATGAGGGTCACAGGAGGGCTGCGCCCCAGGCGGAGGGGTCCACGGAAGGCCTTGGGCTGCCCTTGCCTGCTCCCCATTTAGCGCTTCAGTAAACCCCACTCCCAGTTCCCAGTGGACCGAGTGAGAGAGGAGGATGTCCAGCCCTGTTTCGGGAGGCACAAAGGAGACCACAAAGAGCAGGGAAGAGCTGGGGACCTGAGAAGGGGCACAGTCAGGAGGGCTGGGGACTCCTGAGGTCCCAACAAGTGCCCCTGAGCAAGAAGGGCTTGTGGTCATAAGCAGTGCTTGGCCCAAGCGCTGCCCTTTCCGAGTTGGCCCCACCTGGGAGATGCGTGGACGCGCCCTATTAGGTCCCGAGCTCAAAACCCCTTATGTCTGCTGGGTCAGGGCTACTGCCACGATCACCTGGCGTGTCCACTGTGTACAGAGCATAGAGGGCTGGGAAGGGAGGAAGCTGTGAGCACAACACCCCAAGATGCAGAACAGAGAGCGGTCCATCCAGGCCAGGAACCTCTGGGGAGGGGAAGAGGGACCTGGAGGCCTTCCTGGAAGAGGAGGCATGCATCAGGCTATGTAAGATCAGAGAGAGGTGGGGAGGTGATGGGGAGCATACAGTGGGCTGGTATTTTTTCCCCGTGGCTCTCTGGCACTGGACCGCAGCTGATTAGGGCCTCCCTGAGCTGTCACTGCACCCCCAAAGCCCCAGAGGCCTGGCCCACAGTGGTGTCCTTCCCAGCACACAGCCCTAAGTCAGGGGTCCCGAGCAGACAGGCCCATCCTGCTAGGGCCTGGAGCCTGGAGCCTGGAGCTCTGCGTTAGTTATCGCTGATCTGCATCACACCCTCAGATTGGCTTCTCTTGTTAATCCCGTGTTGCAGATGGGGACACTGAGGCTCAGAAAGGTGGAGTGACTTGCCCGGGGTCACCCAGCTTCTTCTCCTCCACCAAAGCCACTCCTGGAAGTTCTTCTGGGCTTGGACTCTGCCTGAGACTCACACTGATGACAGGAAGAGGAAGGCAATGCATCACCTGAGGCGTGACCCTCTAGTGGAGTGTGCTCTGGCATCCACGGCAGGCGGCAGAGGGTGGGGGGCCTGCCTCACCCCCCAGTACGACACTGGTCAGTCTGTCTTTCTGTGTCTGTGCCCCTCCTTCATTAGTTGGTCGTCATATTCTCTGGCACGGACGGTCCATCCACTGGTAAAGGCTGGAGAACATGCCCCAGACCCTGCCTTGACTCTCAGCAGCTGGTTGACTGTGAGCCAATACTCAACTGTCCTGTGGCTCAGCGTCCTCACCTGTGAGAGCGGGATAGGACACTACCTACTTAGCAGCTCATGGTGAGACTCCAAGCACTTACCTACTGTGGCCTGGGCCGCAGTCCCTGTCCCTCTCGGCAGCCCTCCTGGGACAAGGCTTCAAACAGCCACAGGCAGGCAATACGGGGTCTTTCCCCACCCCCAAAATCTCCTCTGGAGACACGAGGCTGCCCACCCCCAAGGCACTCTGCCCAGAAGGGGATGGGGGCGTGGGGTAGCCTGGGATGCCCTCCTCACTGTGGGCTATGGTGGCGGGACAGGACCAGGGGAGGGTGGACCCAGGAGCAGCTGCTGAGTGGCAGTGAGGACATGTGGGGACCCGCCACTCCTAACAACCCGCCCTGCCCCAGCGCAGCGAGCCAGCGGGCGGGCGAGAGGCCTGGGTCCTGACT